TTGTATCATGATTGTCTATACAAAACACACCTTCCCAAAGAAACAAAAAGCCTCAGCCAAAGTTTCCAGTGCAGAGAAAAGCTGCTTGTGTCCTCCAGGGCACACAAAACTAACATCTTCCACCCTGCCTGACTCAGTGCAAAGAAATATAGAATAGTTACCTATCTAGTTCCTGTTTGGAGACAAAGGCAGATAAGAGGAACAGCCCAAACTGAATCCCTACTCAGACGGTAATATGATCAGTGGAGAAGCAAATAATTGTATTGTCAAAATTAAGGGGGGAATAAAGGACTGCTCCTTTAAAAAGGTGAACAGGGAGGCAAATGCCCAGGGTGTTGGAGGGCAGGATTGCCAAGACAGTCTGATGGTCTCACACACCAATCAAGAAGAGATTCTGTTCCACTTTACAGCTATGCTAGCTTTGCTCCTTGCATTGTCTGGGAAGGAGGTAGACACAACTGAGAAGAGATCGAGGTCTAATAGATGGAGAGATAAATAATGCCACAAGGAGCAGCCAGGTAGGGCAAGACAGAGGCCCAGAGAAAGTGCAACACCTGCCTTGCATGTTCATTCCCCCAGCATCTCCAGGTAGGACCAAGAGAAATAAAGGCTGTCTGAATATCCTGGAGAGCCACTGCTAATCAGTGCAGGCAATACTGAGCTAGATGGACAAATGGTCTGAGTCAGGATAAAGGAGCTTATCACGCCCGTAGTGGGGATCAGATTCTGCAAAAAAGGGAGGTATTTTGGGGTGAATCAGCAGAAGGGGAGCTGGGACAGGAGACTGAAGCCCAGTTGCCTATTGTATGCCTATTGAAACCAAGATCCTTTTCCCCATGATGGAAGGAATATCCTTTGGACCTCATATTCAGCTTTCCTGTTGCAACTCTGCCTTACATCTTCCTGAAGGACCTTGCAGGAGCCAGCCTAGGGTAGGGAGATCTGGAGAAGCCTCTCTAGCAGTGGTCCTTCAGGTGTCACTGGACTCATTATTTAGAGACAACTATGATTAACTAATATACAAATGGTTGAAATAAATAAGGTAAGAACTCCCATCAGAATCAACCAGCATGACCAATGGTCAGAGGTGAAGGGAGTTGTAGACCAGCAACAACTGGAGGGATAAAGGTTCCTCATCCTTCTTCTACAGACAGAAGTTGCCAACAGCCAACAGCCACCTTTCAGGGTTCACAAGCTGGCAGAACACAAAACGGGCCCCTTTACCTGTTAGCCCCACAACTAAATGGCACCCTAGTCAAGGAGGATCCCCTTAGCTAGTATGGCCAATATAAACTTTTCAGAGATCAAAGGCATGGAAGCATCATCATAGACATCTGTTGTTACTCATGTGCAGAGTTATCTACTGCCATCTTACAACTTCCCGTGTTCCAAGGCTGCCCCTCTTGTGGAAAAATGGGTCCTGAGGCAGAGGAAGATTGCATTTCTGAGCTCAGAAGCTGGGAGGAACATGCCCTGGGTAAGATTAAGCAGGTGGCAGTGAAAAACAGGGAGACCTGCAGGAATTGCTCTGTTCAAAGAGCCTGAAATGCTGTTCTGTCACCACAGGGTTCTCTCAGCATCAATAAGGTTAACTTTCCTTTGGGAGGAGTGGACTTTCCACTGACTTTCCATACCATTCAAAAACATCACACCAATGCACCCCCGGCAGCCTGGGAACTGGTTCTGGCTGCTGGCACAATGTTGTGGCTGCACAGCCTGAGATGCACAAGAAAGGGAAAATCTAAGTGCCTTGTTGCCTCCAAAGTTTGGTGCCATCACTTAAGAGATCTGGCCCTCCCTTCCCTCAGTCGACTCAGGCAACGGAAACCCCTGGTGCCAAGTCTTCCAGATAATGCCTCTAACTTGTCGTTCCATATAAAAGAAGCAGAACTAAAGAACACTTTTAAATCCAGCACTCCTTCCAAAAAGGAAACTGCTTTTGCTCAAAATCCATTCCTTCTACCCTTGTCTCTTCCTCAGCTGCTTCCACTGCTGCAAAATTTGAACTGTAAGCTCCTGATCTGTTTTGCTGTGCTGCTCTGAAAAGTACTGGATATATGGTGCCCTCAATGTCTGAACAACAAGGGCACAGTCAGAGTTGCACCTCAATTTTAGATCCAGCCAGTCCCAACCTCTCACCTGGAAACTGATTACTTACATGAAAGAGGGAGTGGGAAGAGTACAGTGGTACCTTGGGTTAAGAACTTAATTCGTTCCGGAGGTCTGCTCTTAACCTGAAACTGTTCTTAACCCAAGGTACCACTTTAGCTAATGGGGCCTCCTGCTGCTGCCGTGCCGCTGCAGCGCAATTTCTGTTCTCATCCTAAAGCAAAGTTCTTAACCAGAGGTACTATTTCTGGGTTAGCGGAGTCTGTAACCTGAAGTGTCTGTAACCCGAGGTACCACTGTAATCCTATGCTATGGCTTTAGCCAGGGTTTTATCCAAAAGTAAGTGGTCATCAAATCACAGCCAATCACTCCCCTTCCAGGTGAGGTATCTGCTTGGCTTCATATCCACAATCACCAAGGCAAAAAACACAAACAAAAAAGCCTCTTTGTTCAATCTGCAGCATGCACAGAAGGAGCAGCACTAACCCTTTTACCACTTATTAATCAGACTAGGAATACAGCTTGGGTAAACTTATGCTTAATTGCAAACAGTTACCACTAGTTACTGAATACAGGGAGCAAAGCCTAGCCAAATTGGAGGCTATAGCTTCAGTGATATGAAGTAAGCGAAGATCTGCCATTTCCTTGAGTTGCCACCATAAGTTAAGAGCAAAATAATGGCTTCATCATTAAATATATTTTTCAAACTGATTTTTAAACTGCGCCCTAAATCTTGTGGGTGGCAAGGGGGGACCTGAGGAACTGCCTGTCTATCTGCATTAGCTCAAGTTATTGATCTCTGTGTTGGCCAAAGAAAGAGAGCAGCAAAACAAGCACCACAATACCTTATCATGGCTCAAACTTCGATCAGCAAAAGAACGTGCAGGCTTCAGAGTTACGCAGGGCTCTTTTATCACACCAAATTGCAAAAGAAAAGGGGGGGGAAAAGCAGAAGCAAGGATCTGCATATGGGAATGGGCCATTGGCGATATAGGAACTCTCTCACACACCCATCCTGTCCCTTCCTCCAAAGATATAGATGTGGCATGCATGAGCATAGCAGTAAGGTGGGCATGCACTTTACAAAAAGTTTAAAAAAAAACTGATAAGGGTGGCATGGGGAGAGCAGGCTAGTTTCTCAAAAACTCAATATGAGAGGAAGAGTGCCTGTACTTTTTGCTTCATATCTCAGGTTCTAAAATGCTCCAGATGTGGTCCCTTACAACTTCACTATTAATTATATGATTCTATGCTATTTCCTCTTTTTAAAGTATGAAAGCTGGGAAACTGCAGGTTAGGATTCATTGGAGGGAAGGCTGGCTCCTTTGCACACACACACACACACACACACACAGAGATAGAGATAGAGAGATGCCCAAAGAGTTAGCCTAGCTTGAACACTGGCTCTGCCTGCACCACTTTGCGAGTTTCTTTGGCTAAACAGGAATTGAAACCCAGGTCTCTCACTCCAAGACTAACATTCTAACTGCGACATTGTGCAACTTTTTTCAGTTCAGCAACCAGTCAGCAAGAGCAAGAGGGTGGTAAAGTTGGGCATTTGCCCAAGACCAACAGGGGCTCGCTGGACCAACAGTGCTGCCCTTCCCACTTTGCACGAAATATCCAAGAATCAGCAGATAATTCCTAAGGGAAACAATAGTTTGCATGTCCTGCCTTTTCTAGCAGAGCCCCTGCCCCCACAGCAAATCCTGGAGTCTGCACTGAAGAATAGAGAAAACCAAATAGGAGCCTGCAGGTGCAAAGCAGTTCCCAGAAAAGCTGGGAATGTACAGATGCCTAAGAAAGCAAAGGTCTTGGCCAACAAGGCCAGAAGTCAAGGAGGAAATGGATTTCTGAAGGGGAATATGGTCATGATCTGGATTTGGTGACAGAAAAGCAGCTTTGCCCTCCGATTCCAGCAGTCCCTTAAGAAAATAGGATGTAGAGGGTAGGCTGCCTAATCAAGGACTGGTCAGGTGAAACTTGCACTTCCCAAATGTCATGTCAAAAGTTGCTTTGCCCAAGCGCCATTTAAATCTGGCTTTGCATTTCACAGACGTGCAATTTAAAGAACGCAAGACTTATGCAGACTGGGAATAGCGGCAGGCTCAGCCCTCTGACTTTCAGGGCCATGTTCACAAGTGGAGCAGCACTGGCCTGCTGAGCATCCCTTGCAACAGTGCCCTCAATATGCTTTGCATGAGCCTGCACACCTGCCCAGTGCTGTAAACAAACTCTTTACTAAGCAGCTCAGGGTAGCAAACCTTGGTCAGCTTGAGACAATGTTTACCCTCTTGAACTTTCTGATCCATTCGGGCCAAGCTCTCACCTGTGTTTACTAGGAAGCAAGCCCCACTAGGAAGCAAGCTCCACCAGAACATCTCTTATTTAGTGAGTCCTCTCACCCCTCACCCCATGTTTCCTCCCTAAGCATAAAACTGTGGGAAGTGGTAAGAATAGCTGGAATACATCTTAATACTGCAAGGGGAGGAGGAAAGACATAAACAGAAAGGAACATGGTCTTTAGTTCTGGGCCTGTTAAAAGATGGGACAGGGAGAACTGAGGTGTTAAAGAGTTGGGGGTGCATGGGTGGATGGTGGCATAGGAGCCAACTCTAGGGACCATGGGGGCTTCAGCCCCCGCAATAAAATATTTGGGGGGGCTGGGCCCCCACAGAGTTGATGGGCATTCCCATTCAAATGATGTGTGTGCACTGAGTCATGTGATCGATTATGTGGTGTGGGGCTTACATGGGCCCCCACAATATTTTATTCAAGTTGGCACCCCTGGATGACGGAACCCCATGCAAAGAGGCACCTTTCATACGCAAAGACCCTTAGGGAAAAGTTTCAGGTTGGTCGGGAAGGGTCTGGGGGGGTCCAGTACTCACATGAAGGCGTGATAGATAAACGCCCAACCTCGGGGTCTTTCCAGCACATTGTAGAGACAGTTCTGGAGGCGCCGGTAGCGCTTGTTGGAGGCGGATCGGGCTCCGGAGCCCCCCGGGGGAACCGGCAGCGGCGTCCCGAGGAGCCCCAGGCGCCTGGGGCTGCCGGCAGCAGGGACGTCGTTTTTCTCCGTCTGCACGGCTGTAAGGGCCACGAACTCCACCCGCTGGGCTTCCACGCCGCCGCCGGGGATCGTGGCCGGAGACAACATGGCACGGTCCCCGCCAGACGCCCCGGCCATAGCGCTGGCAAGATGGAGAGGACACCGTCACCGCATGGAGAGGCACCAGCCCCGAAGCCGGTCAGCCCGGCATCATGGCCCGAGGAAGGGGACCGAGAGGGGCTCCGCCGCGACACTTCGACGCCCGCGCCAGGTTAGGGACCTCCGCGCCCTCGCTCAGCTCGCTCCTCGCCCGGTCACACTTCGCCCAGCGCCGCGCCCGGGTCTCAAGGGCTGGAGGCGCCCAGGGCGCACGTGCCGGACCCTCTTCGGAAAGTGAGGTGCGCTGTTAGCCTCGGCCGCGCCGTCCCCGCAGCTTCTTCAGCCTATCCAGAAAAGAAGGGGGCGCACAGAGAGAGAGAGAGAAAGAAGAAGTCCGGAGGAACTGGGTTTCTCTCCTTTGCCTAGCTCACCCAATTACTTCTCCGCCTACGCCCAAGTTTAGAAGAGTTGCCGCTTTACATGGCGCTTCGCTTTGGAGAGCTGGACAGCGTCAAAAGCGCAGCCGGCTGCAAACAGGAGCAGGCGCCGCGGCGGGCTCTTTCTCCTCCTCTTGCCTCGGCCCCTCTCCATCCTGCTGGCTTTCCCACCTGCCTTTTGCTTCTCCGACTCACATGGCACCCTCTTCACCCGCCTCCTTCGCCCTCTCTCCGCCCCTCGGCGGCTCGCCTTTCCGACGGCGCGGCGGCGCTCAAGAAGCACGACGCCCGCGACTCAGCCCCGCCCTGCCTCGCCAGCCCAGAGCCGGGGGCGCGTTTCCTCCACCAGGCGGGAGGCTCAAAGGGAGACGGCTTCCTGTTCGGGACTGGGGGTCCGCCGTCTTCCTTTCCCGCTAAGCCACCCGTCCCAAGCCGGAGACTGAAAAAGACCCTGGAAGTCGCCAAGCCACACGCTTCCAAAACTCTCACGAATACGTAAGGTTGGCCACCGTGAGAACCGGATGCTGAACCAGATGGGCCACTGGCCTGATCCAGCAGGCTTTTCTTATGCCTTTTCTCTCGGGGATCTGTGCGGCCGTCTGTCTTCCCGATCGTGTGGGAAGCCCAGAAACCCACCACGGAGGCCTCGACCTACGCGCCTCGCTTTCCAAAATCCAGGCAGAGAGATACCTTGTTTCCCGAAAAGGGCGAGTACAATGTTGCCAACTGACTGGAAAGGAGCTTGCTCTTAATGTCTGAGGTGCAGAAACCAGAAAGTGAGGCTCCCCCCGTCCCCACGGGGGGGAGGTTCATGTTGATTTGTGCTCAGGATGCTCTCAAGGTGGTGACACAGAATCTCACTTTCAATACTGTTTGTGTATGCAAAAGGTTTTGGGTTGTCACACAGCTTCATTTCCAATCACTGTATATCCCGTAACTTCCTGCTGAAATCGCGTAACATTTTATACCATGAATGTGTGTGGAAGGGTGTTGTTCCACTGTAGCCCCTCCGGACAGCAACAATGTGGTAATACTGGAGAAGCACCACAGAACAAATTAAAGCAGAATAAAGCCACCACTACTGGTGCTATGATTACATCAAGAACCTGTTGCAGAGCACACCCTGAATAAAACATTGGTCCGAAGGAGGGGGCCTTATTATTAATAATTATAATTATAATTTATTATTTATACCCCACCCACCTGGCTGGGTTATGTCTCTCCAAAGATTGAGCTTCTTGTGAGAGGCAGAGCTAAGGTGGGATGCTGTGAAGTTGGCAACCCTGCCTCCTTGTGGTTTTGCAAAAGCCCTTGGGAAAACATCCAAAGCAGAGTGCTCATTTTAATGGAATGGGCTGAGTAAATGGGTAGATTAATCGACAGCTGACTGCTTTAATCAGCAAAAACAAACAAAAAAGGAGAATTTCAATCAGTTGGGCAGGGAGGCTCAATTCACCTGGAAAATGGTTGCTTTTCCAGAATGCGGCAGCTAGACTGGTGACTGGGAACGGCCGCCGAGACCATATTACATTGGCCCTGAAAGACCTACATTGGCTCCCAGTACGTTTCCAAGTACAATTCAAAGTGTTGGTGCTGACCTTTAAAGCCCTAAGCAGCCTTGGCCCAGTATACCTGAAGGAGAATCTCCACCCCCATCGTTCAACCTAAACACTGAGGTTCAGCTCCGAGGGCCTTCTGGCGGTTCCCTCATTGCAAGAATTGAGGTTAGAGGGAACCAGGCAGAGGGCCTTCTCAGTAGTGTCACCCGTCCTGTGGAACGCTCTCCCATCTGATGTCAAGGAAATAAACAACTATCTGACTTTTAGAAGACACCTGAAGGCAGCCCTGTTTAGGGAAGTTTTTAATGTTTGATGTTTTATTGCATTAATTATTATTATTATTATTATTATTATTATTATTATTATTATTATTATTTTGTTGGGAGCTGCCCAGAGTAGCTGCCTCCTTGTCCTGATTCTTGTATGTGTGATATATGAGTGAAAAGTGTTAATGTCCCAAGGCACATGGCTCTCAAGCCAGATTGGTATGCCCCATGACTGAATGGAGGCAACAGGCTATTCTCCATACATAGACTCCTGCAGAGATAGATCGCAGACCATAGATCCAGGCAGGGAGGGCAAGGATTTTTGAAGCACCAGGAATCATCCAGTCATAGCTGATGTAGAGAAATAGCAGAATCACCTGATTCCACACACCCCTCCCCAGAGGAAGATGATTGGATGGAGCCAACAAGCCTAGAGAAATCAATCATTCAGAGATGCAACAGGCAGCCTCTACTGTGAGCAGCACTTCTTTGGACTCCTGGGAGCTTTTAGTTATGTGATGCATCTATTTCTGTTTGGGATTTTGTTGTACTAAGCAGATCAAATTAAACAGGGGAAAACTAAGGAGATCAGTAGGAAATTAGCAGCCACAAAACCACTAAATGAGGACCCAGTGTGAACTTTAATTGTCTCAATTTCTGATAGGAAGACCCGGACATGTTTCCCACCCAATTTTCTGCCCCTTCCAGCAAACGTTAGGTTTCTGTGGTAACTCAGCAAGGGGGACAAATTATATGTTGTGTTGTTTTCTCCAACCTCACTGTGCTGAATTCTTTTTTGTGAGGGGGGGGAGCAGGCGGGGGTCCTTGTCTCACTGAGGTTATTTTTTGTCCTAAATACCTTTACACTTACAAAAACCTTGGGGTTCCCCCAAGGCTGCTGATATTGCCTGGATGACACTGTCTGGTCAACATAAAGATCCACACTCAGAGAATTCCAGCCAGAGAAAAATATTCAGGGTGCCAAGCAAGGTCAGTGAGAGGTGTGGCCTGGGGAGAGTTCCAAGGGCCAGATCTGGAAGCCTGGAGGGCCACATTCAGACCCCAGGCCTACTCTATTATATAACCACTCAGTTTGCCTTGTTAAAAAATAGGGGGAAGCCCCAAACCTTTCAGTCTTTCCTCACAGGTAAAGTGTTCCAGCTCCCTGATATTTTTTCTGTTTCTTTACTGCTTCTCTTCTCTTCTCTTCTCTTCTCTTCTCTTCTCTTCTCTTCTCTTCTCTTCTCTTCTCTTCTCTTTTTTTGAGTTGGGACAACCAGAAGTGCCCACAATATTCCAACTGTGGATATACCATTGATTTGTATAATGACAATTCAATACAGTACTGGCAGTTTTGTTTTCTGCCCCTTTCCAAAAAATCTCTACCCTGGAAATTGCCTTTTTCACAGCTGTCATACACTGGTTTGACATTTTCATTGATGCCAGATCTCTTTGCTAGTCAGCCATTGCCGGTTCAAATCCTGCTCTGTATTTGTGTGAAGTTCAGTTTGTTATGGGCATCACTTGGCACTTATTTACATCAAACAGCATTTCATTGCTTTGTTGCTCATTCACTTATTTTGGACAGATCCATTTGGATCTCCTTGCAGTCCACTTGTGGTCACCCCACCACCATCCTGAACAATTTGGTGCCATCACAAACTTGACCTCTTCACTGCAAGCTTTTAGCCTTTAACTATCCAACAGGGAGTGCGCCCAGTCATCAAAATGACTGAAGTTGCAAGCGCTGACCTCATTCAAGGCAAGACTCAGGATATACTTAGAAGAGAGCAATGCTCTGGTGTTGCTTCAGCAACAGCCAGCCTCTCAGCCTTATGGTGGAGCAGCAGTCCTGTCTCAAATATAAGTTCCACCTTTACTGAAATGTGCCTCTTCAGTTAAAGAGGCCCAGCCTACTCCAACAGTAGTTGACAGAGCATGCAGTGTTCTATCTTTAATGATGAACAAGTCAGAGATCATGATAGCTCAGTCGGTTGAGCATGAGACACTTAATCTCAGGGTTGTGGGTTCAAGCCCCACGTTAGGTGAAAGATGCTTGCATTGCAGGGGGTTGGACACAATGATCCTCGTGGTCCCTTCCAACTCTACAGTTCTAGGGTTCTAAGTTGGATGGTGGACTCAAAGGCATCCTGATCAAATTTGCAGATGACACCAAACTGGGAGGGGTGGCTAACACCCCAGAGGACAGGATCACACTTCAAAACGACCTTGACAGATTAGAGAACTGGGCCAAAACAAACAAGATGAACTTTAACAGGGAGAAATGTAAAGTATTGCACTTGGGCAAAAAAAATGAGAGGCACAAATACAAGATGGGTGACACCTGGCTTGAGAGCAGTACATGTGAAAAGGATCTAGGAGTCTTGGTTGACCACAAACTTGACATGAGCCAACAGTGTGACGCGGCAGCTAAAAAAGCCAATGCAATTCTGGGCTGCATCAATAGGAGTATAGCATCTAGATCAAGGGAAGTAATAGTGCCACTGTATTCTGCTCTGGTCAGACCTCACCTGGAGTACTGTGTCCAGTTCTGGGCACCACAGTTCAAGAAGGACACTGACAAACTGGAACGTGTCCAGAGGAGGGCAACCAAAATGGTCAAAGGCCTGGAAACGATGCCTTATGAGGAACGGCTAAGGGAGCTGGGCATGTTTAGCCTGGAGAAGAGGAGGTTAAGGGGTGATATGATAGCCATGTTCAAATATATAAAAGGATGTCATATAGAGGAGGGAGAAAGGTTGTTTTCTGCTGCTCCAGAGAAGCGGACACGGAGCAATGGATCCAAACTACAAGAAAGAAGATTCCACCTAAACATTAGGAAGAACTTCCTGACAGTAAGAGCTGTTTGACAGTGGAATTTGCTGCCAAGGAGTGTGGTGGAGTCTCCTTCTTTGGAGGTCTTTAAGCAGAGGCTTGACAACCATATGTCAGGAGTGCTCTGATGGTGTTTCCTGCTTGGCAGGGGGTTGGACTCGATGGCCCTTGTGGTCTATTCCAACTCTATGATTCTATGAAAATGAAATAGTTTTAATAAAGAGCCATGCACAACAGGTCTTCTCTCCCTTCAACTGCTTTCCCACTCTGCTTCTAGCCAGGCCTCCTAAACTAGATGTGGGAGATGCCCTTAAAGGTATAGTCACACTTATCCTTACAGAGCAGGGGAGACTGATTGCACTGGGCTTCTGTGATGGAGTTGTCTGCCACCAGAGACCAGCAAATACAACATCCTCAGGCCAGAGGTGGGATGAGCACTGACTCACCTTGCAGACTTGCATCTGGAGCTAGTCCTGTGTGCAAATCCCCTTCTAACTCATTCTTTGACATCATAATGAAGGAGAAGACTCCAATCCCAGGGTCATGGCAGACCAGTTTCATTTTTGTGGCACTGTCAGATTACGTCCCCTTAAATCTTTGCCAACAGAACCACTTCCCCACCTACAGATTAATCCCACAGGAGGTTGGGTCTGTTATGCTTTCAAAGCGGGCTTTGGTTCCTCCAAATGCACCCC